TCAGTTAATGGGACGTTACCTGATAGAGTGAGTTAAAATGTGTTTTTATAGTTTAGTTGAGATTGTGGGGCTCTATCTCTGTCTGTATGTGTTTGTGTATATGTGTATGTGTTTTTATATATAGAGATATATATATATATATATATATATATATATATATATATATATATATATATATATATATATATATATATATATATATATATATATATATATATATTCCATCCTACTTTTCTGAAGATCGATCTCTCCAGATTTCAACGCTTATGGGTATATTCTGCGAACATATCTGCATAGGAAGAATCCAGAATTTGAGGAGTAGAGTTTTTGTCTTATCTATAAATAAATCGGATTAAATTAAATATCAAGAATTGTAGATGAAATTTTATTGGAGATATTAATTAATATTAAGAGTGCAAATTTAGACCGAATGACCTGTTTTAATAGGAAAATTGGATGCCATAAAATGATTGACACGTGGATAGTTTTAATAAAAATATAATTTTGATTCTAATAATTGGAAAAAAAATAAAAAAAATAAAAACCCAGCATAACCCGTAACCCCTCTAACCCTAATTATAATCAGCGTGAGTTATTAAGAGTTAATACTTAAAAGTGTCACATGTCAAAAAATTAGTGGAATCCGATTTATATTAAATATCGAGCGTGAGTTATTAAGAGTTAATACTTAAAAGTGTCACATGTCAAAAAATTAGTGGAATCCGATTTATATTAAATATGGGCTGATCCGCTCAGAATTTAATCTCTAATATTAAATGCATTTTACTAGTAACTTAAGCTTTTGATTGATATGGTATTAGAGCCCGTCCAAATGAAAAAATCTTGACTGTGAATCCCACAGCTTACATTTTTCTAAACTTGAAATTTTTGGAATAAAATTGGTGGAATCCGAAATTTCACTCTCACATGGCAATCAATTTGAACTTGTCAACCTCATTGAATCTCACAGTTTACATTTTTCTAAACTTGAAATTTTTGGAACAAAATTGGTGGAATTCGAAATTTGACTCTCACATAGCAATCAATTTGAACTTGTCAACTTCATTGAATCAAGACTGCATTAATAGCTCGCTTTCTAGGACATTTCTCGGATTAGTTTGAATTAGATGAGACTAGATTAATTCTCTACTAACTAACTAATTATTTAGTTAGTAAAATGTTCGGTTCTTCATTGGATTAGATATTGTATGAAATCAGTTAAATTTTATTATTATATGTGATTTGTCTATGAAATCTTTTATTTAACAAAATTAATATGTAGTTTGAAGGATGAAATAACAGTATTTAATAGCGGCCTTTAATTTTTATAGCGTGTTTGAGTAAGTATCAATCTTATCAATCGAACATGTTATATTTGTGAATGTTCTATAAGTTCAAACATATCTATTAGAAAAAAAAATGGAACACAAAACTCGTTCATAAATAAAAAAATTCCATATCGTAATCGGCTGCATTTGAAAATTATTCCAAATTAGTAGTCACCTATCATAAAATGCTTAATGATATTGATATTATAAGTTTAAGTTTTTGATAAAACTAGAATTCAAAATTGGAATCTCACATCGGCAGAAATTGAAATTCCATTCCAATTTCCACACCTAGTCCGCGGAGTAGGAATCTCCGTCAATCGTGTAAATAACACGAAATGTTCACTTATAAATAACCCGAGTAGAGAAGCAAGGTATATAAAAATTAAGATGGATGCCCTCTCTTCTTCCTTCCTTCCCAAATATTCTCTATCCAACACATCCTTTGCATCGACTCCGAAGATCAGCCGTCGAACAAATATTATTCGCAGTCACTCCTTCACGATATTCGACGACCATTTATCGAAACTTATTTCGAAAACGGCCGAAAAAATCAAAGTCAAGTTGATCAATAAGACCAAATCGAATAACGTTCCGCTTCTGACGACGTTGTTCAAGTCCATAGATGATTTTACGTGCAACTCTCTCGACTCACTATCGCCCCTTCCTCCATCTATCGACCCGCACCACGTGCTCTCCGGCAACTACGCTCCGGTCGACCACGAGCTTCCTCCGACGGCATGTGAGGTGGTGGAGGGATACTCGAATATTCCGAGGTGTTTGAACGGTGTGTATTTACGAAACGGCCCGAATCCGCAGTTCTTGCCGCGGGGCCCGCACCACCTATTGGACGGCGACGGGATGATTCAGATGGTTAGGATATCCGACGGCGGAGCCACGTTTTGCCGGCGATATATCAAGACTTACAAATACTTGACGGAGCGTGAATTGGGGTACGCCGTTTTTCCGAGCGTTTTGTCGTCCTTCAACGGCGGCTTGGCTTCTATGGCGCGTGTGTTTGTTGCCGCCGCGCGTGTGCTCGCCGGAGAGTTCAAGCCAGCGGGGAACGGGTTCGGCACGGCAAACGTCAGCGTGGCACTCATCGCCGGAAAACTATACGCTCTCACCGAATCGGATCTTCCGTACGAGATACGGGTGACGCCCGACGGAGATATAGCCACGCTCGGCCGCCGTGATTTCGGCGGCGGCGGGGGTTTCATCAACATGACCGCCCACCCGAAAGTGGATCCAGTCACCGGGGAAACCTTTGCATTCCGATACTCCGGAGTTGCTCCGTTTTTAACGTATTTCAGGATCGATTCCGGCGGAAGAAAGCAGGCTAACGTGGCTATCAACGCCGTTAAGACGGCGACGGTGGTGCACGATTTCGCCGTGACGGAGAACTACGCCGTGTTCAACGAGGGGCAGATGGTGATAACCCCGGCGGAGATACTGAGGGGGCGGCGGCCGGTGAGGGTGGACGGAGGGAAGATTCCGAGGATCGGGGTGATCGAGAAGTACGCTGAGGATGACAGTGGGATGGTGTGGGTGGATGCTCCGGGGGTGAACATATCGCACGCGGTGAACGCGTGGGAGGAAGACGGCGGCGACACGGTGGTGGTGGTGGCGGCGAATAATGAGAGAATAGAAATGGTTTTTGAGAGATTAGATTTAGTGGAGACGAGAATGGAGGAAATCAGAGTGTGTTTGAAGACGAAGAAAGTACAGAGGCGTTTGTTGTCTGATCAATTTCTTGATCTCGCCGCCATTAATCCGGCTTTCCTCGGAAGAAAGAACAGGTAATTACAATCTTAATTACAATCTTAATTACACTTGTGAAGTTTATCACTTACATAATCACTATTGAAGAAGAGATTGAATTATTTCTAATATTTAATCTCATTCATCAACTTCTTTTGGCCCTTGTTACAAAACTTTAGAACTAGGGGTGGATATCGAACGGATCTGATTTACAACTTTTGGCAAAAGAAAAAAAGAAAAATCAATTTATTTTTGAAGTGAGAAACGTACTCTGGTTCAGTTCAAAAAATTGAAAGTCCGAATGGTGGAAATTGTATTGAAAGAAGTTATTCCAAAAGCGGAAATTTTCGAATCGGGATCTGCATAATTCGGAGTTTCCAAATTTTAGTAACCTAAAATATAAAATACATTATAATATTGAAAATTCTGCTTCTTCGGAAATAAAAGTCTTATTGAAAATTAGAATCTGATATGTATTCTAATATGCATTCAAAAAAAAAAAAAAAAAATTGGGAAAATGGAATGAATTTTTTTGTTCCGAATAGGAAACAATGGTATTAGAATTCAGAAATTATGTTCCGATATTTTCACCTGATTGCATAACAACTTTTATTATTCAAAAATAAAGATTTCAGGCTAGGTACCAACTCTCTGGCAAAAATGCTCTAGTTGAGTCAGGAAATAATTCAGAACTTTTTTCTTCTTATATATAGGTACGTATACTCCCCAGTAGTAGAGATGCCGATGAAGATAGTAGGGCTCGTGAAACTGGATGTATCATTATCTTCAGATGACTGCGTAGTGGGCACCCGTATGTACGGGCCGGGCTGCACGGGGGGTGAACCATTTTTCGTCGCAAAAAATCCGGCGGCAGAAGAAGATGACGGTTATTTAGTGACATATGTATATGATGAGATAGTTGAAGAGTCAAAGTTCTTGGTAATGGATGCAAAATCACCTACACTTGAAATTGTTGCTGCAGTTAAATTACCCGGGAGGGTACCTGATGGACTCCATGGGTTATTTGTGACAGAAAATTGCCTCAGTCAATAAAATGTAACTGATGATATTGCACCATTTTTCTAATAAATTGATCAAAAACTCATATACAGGTAAACCTCTATAAATTAATATTGTTGGGGTCAACAAAATTCCATTAATTTAGTGAAATATTAACTTATCGATAAATTAATAATTATTAATTTATACATTAATTAATAATTTATTAATTTATGAAATTATTTTTATTTTTATTTTCAATAAATATATATATTTTTTAGGTATATTATTCATTGTACCATTAGTTAATGCACTATAGAGCCCATTTCACGAACGGAAGCTCTTAAAGCAACAATGGTATTGAACAATTTCATGTTAAGTTATGCGAAACCTATACCAGAAGTTCTAACCATGTTAAGAAAAGTGAGGCACGGAATTGATGGTAATGTGAACTTCAACAAGAAACAAACGGAAATTAAATCATATTTTAGTAAACCTTCATAGATCTATAAATATGTATTGTACCATGTTATTTAAGAATTATTAATTTATATATTATATGGGGTTTCTTAAAATTTTCGAATGTGTATTATTTTATAAATTTAGCGAATTCTTAATTTAGCACGTTGTCCTCGAGTCGGGACCGAGAAAATTTATTATTTAATCGAGGTTATTAATTTATCGAGTATTAATTTATGGAAATTCTACTGTATATCTAATTAATAAGAAAGCTGAAGTGTATTGTACGTCATGTGTATTTATTGTTCAATATATATATATATATATATATATATATATATATATATATATATATATATATATATATATATATATATATATATATATATATATATATATATATATATATATATATATATATATATATATATATATATATATATATATATATATATATATATATATATATATATATATTATTTGTGTTTATTGCGTTTGTTATGTTTTTATTAAAACGATCTTATGTATTTAGAATTTAGATATTGCAAGGTATTTATAATTTCTTTATCTAATAAAATCTAACTTTAATTAAACTTTAAATATAGGGTAAATTCCAATCACTCCTAGGTATGGTTAAATTACAAAAAAACCATCTTGTTTGGATAATTACAACCACCTCTCAACTATAAATCTTCTTACACGTCCACCCTTGTGGTTTCAAATTTAGTGGAATCTTCGAGATTATATGGAATATTATCACTTTTGTACCCGTTTTATCCCATTCGAACTCCACATTTTGAAGCAAGATGATCATAATATGTGTTTTTTGGCTTGTATATATCAGATTGTGGTGCATCAGAAACTGTATTTTTACAACGAGTACAAAATAGAGCACATTCCACAAAATCTAATGATTATGTTGAATTTGACACCATAAGGATGGAGATGTAAGAAAAAATCATAGTCGAGGGGGTAGATATAATTATCCAAACAAGAGAGGTTTTTTCGTAAATTGACCATACCTCAGGGGTGGTTGTAATTTACCCTTAAATATATTAATAGTTTCATAATTTCGCCTATGATTTGTGTTTGGATCATGTTTTAAAAGGTAAACAGCATAAAACTCGCCTGTGTTATGACAAAGGGAAAATTGTAATTTTGGTTATATGTGTTAGTCTCCTTAGGGATTTAGTCTTATAAGTTGTCATATTTCAATTTTACATGCAATAATTATACAAAATTAGTGTTTTTAGTCCTATTTCACTCGAACTTTGAATTTTAACCGTCATTTAATAATGTACCTAACAAACTCGTAGAAATTTTGTTTATATGGACACTTAAAAATTATAAATGCTCCCCTAATGTGATTTACAGATGATTCGTCTCACATAATTAACGTTCTACAAATTGTAAGTTAGATGTCGAATTTATAAATTTTCAAGCGTCCATTTAAGTAAAATGCGTCAAGTTTATTAGTCGCGTCATAAAATTAAAAGTCATGCAAAATAGGACTAAAAATACTATATTTACAAAGTTATTGCATGTAAAACTGAAACATGACAAGTTAGAGGACAATTTCTAAATAGGCCAACATAGAGGACCAAAACTACAATTTTCCCTTATGACAAACATGCACCAAATTCCCCTGTGTTCGTTTTATTGCGTAAAACCCCCTGTATTTTATTTTTTCTTCCATGAAATCCCAATTTCAGTTAATAGTTAACACCGTTAACTATAGAGGGGATTTTATCCAAGTTTTTTGTATCATAGGGGGATTTTGGTGCATGCTTTCGCAACACAAGGGGGGGCTATGCAAAATTAATTTATTCATTTTCAAATTATTTATTTAAATTAAGTCGAATACAACTATTAATTTAAAATATTGATCGGGCCAAAGTTAACTCACATGGCCAAATTAGGATTATAGGGCTTGTAGGCCCACGAAGAGGTAAAGCCTGAAACCGACGAATCACCGGCCGAAGACGAGGCGACCAACATTAGTGTGAGAGGTAGCCTTTTTGTCGATGACTGTCTCGCTTCAACCTCTGTTTCCCTCTCGCCACACCACTAGCTGATCGAACAAGGTAGCATTTAATGCACGTCCAATCCTCTGACAAGACGTAGGCAATGTTCTCAGCTTTTAGCATGTGCAAACGCTCTTGAAATGACAGATTAAACTCCATTTGAGGTAATTTGAAATCCGTAGTATTTTATTATGGTGAATAGACTGTTAATTTGGATTGGAGGAAAAGCTGCCGTCTATTTTTACCTACCTATAAATATGGTGGTGCCCGCTAGAGAAGGTAAGTTCTCGAAAAGTAATAGAAAAGTATATGTTCTTCATAAAGATAAAAGGCTTTTAAATCAAGAATAATTTAACGTATTAAATCCCAACACTCTAGAAAAGATTATTAACTTGGCCGTCGGAGTGCTAGCCCCAACCTAAGTCCGGATTCTTTCTCTTTTGTAGGCTTGTTTACAGATCAAAGCACATCTTAGTATAATAACCCACCATGAATCAAGATTGATCAAATATGAAAACTAAAAAAATAATATTCGAGATGAAAGATGGAACAAATTCTCAAAAAAAAAAATTATGTTTTTGTCACATATAATTAATTCAGAATAAATTATAAAAATATATAATAATTCTAATAAAATAATTATATATTTTAAAAAATCAAAAGTTTAAATACATTAATAAATTATATGATATAAAAATTGATTTAAAATAAAAAGATTCATATTAAATTTTTATTTTTCATATTGTAACTGAATAAATGTGTTCAACTTAATTTAAGAAAATAACATGAAATGTAAACGAATGAATGAAGTTTTTATAAAATTCCCTTGTATTGTAAAAAATAAGCACTAAATCCCCCTCTGTTATGAATTTTTTTTGCATAAAATCCCTTCTATAGTTAATTGCGTTAACTTTTAACAGAAAAGGGGATTTCGTGAAAGTAAAATGGAACACAAGGGGGTTTTACGCAAGAAAAAAAAAACACAAAGGGATTTGATGGACTATTAGTTAACGAAGTGATGGAGACAAGATAGAGCTCGGGGTAATTTAAGAAATGTTGGGGGAACCATATCACCCCCTAACACTATGTTGTCTCCACCATATATTGAAACTAATAGTCCATTAGAATTCAATCGGAATAACGTCTCCAATGCATTATAACAATGTTTCAATAAAATGTTAGGGATTGATTGTAATACCACAGGGACCTTAAAATTATTTTTTTATTTTAGCATACCTTCAATTTTTTTATTTTTTTTATTAGTACCCTTACTTAAATAAAACGAAAGAGAAAGGCATCTTTGATAAATTGTGGGAATGAATGTGAATCAGATCCGAATGTATTTATTTTGTCCCAGCTTTTAATATAATATACTCCATTATATAACAAATTCTAAAGAGTTTTAAAATAATTTCCGCCTCTCAGTTTTGAATCTGAATTTCAACGCTGAAGTTAATTACATTATAGTATAGCCCATCAATTCATCAACATACAATAATATTTAAATACAATATGTCATATCTATATAATAAAATGTCAATGAACTCCATCATTTATTTACTTTAAAATATTATTTAACTAGTGCCACTACAACCGAATGAATTTATTAATGTCATCATATATATCGAAGCTGAAGACGCGGTTTTATAGAATCTACACCTAATGAAATGCATTATTGATTTTAAATAAGGGGTCATTAGCAATACACCCCTCATTTAGATAAAAACTAGTGATATGTCCATACCATAATTCTTTCTTTGTGAAAACCCCTTACAATATTTATTTCCAATCTTACCCCTCTAGTAGTGTATCACGTTTTTTTTTTATAATTATCCAGTAATTTCGAAATCCCTATTAATGAGGCACCTAATCCCGCTAATTAGACTTAATTATATATTTTCCCTAATTTATCTCAATTATTCCTTTTTTCTCTCTTTCCATAACAATTTAATTCCTAATATCTGTTCCAAATTCCTAAAAAATTGCTACGAAATCAAAAAAATAAAATAAAAAAATAATCGGATTTTATTATTTTTATTTTTTATTTTTATATTATTTTTGGACTTTATTTAGTCATTTTTAATTTATTTTTAATTTTAATATTTTTTAATAAAAATATTATTTTAAATTTTTTTTAAAACTTTTTTTAAACAAAAAATTGAAATTTTTCTCTAAACAGGTTTGCAACGCCGAATATGACTATGGTTGAATATGACTATATGTGACTATAAACTGTAGTCATATTCTTTCTTTATATTGTTGTTTTTTACATTTTGAACTTAAAAGTTCCGATTATATGACATAGTCATGTTTACCAAATCATATAAAACAACGAATATTCCCTATTATTTACGAAAACTATTCAATCAACATCCACACAAAAAATCACAATTTGAATCTTGTTATTAGAAGTCAACTTGAATAGTCATATTCGAAAAATACATTAAATATGACTATAGTCATATTCGAATATGGCTATAGTCATGTTACTACTGCTGTTCAGATCTGGAAAAAAAAATCGAAAAATACATAAATAAAGATAGAAAAATAACGAGACAGAGGGCGAGGTCTTCATACACAAAATCACCCCGGCATATCTTCACCCCAAACGACCCTCCATACTTTAACAAAGGTTGACGACATGATGTGCAGCCCTACAAAAAAAACATGAGAATGTGACTACAATGTGACTACCGAATTGTGATACTTTCACAATTTATATCCGGAGCTAGGGGGCACCAAATTCAATCTCCTCCGTACAGTATATAAAAATATATACTCTGAATACTCTATCCAAATTTAGGCCACATCCAACGGTTCAATTGTACAAAAAATGCGTCCAATCTAGCTGCCATGAATTATTCAGTAACAAAAACCAGCAGCGAGTTTTAAGATCCGATCTATATTTAGAGAAGTCTGATTCCGATCTCCACCGTTCATAAGTTATATTTATGTGTTACGAATCATGTGTAAAAATATCAACCCGATCCGATGGTTAGATTTTCCGATTTGGCCTCTGCACGAAAACTGTTGCATCTAAAAAACTTGATTTTTCTCCCTTTTTTTCGTTCGCTCTTCGGAAGGAGAATCAAACCCGGCGCCGGCGCCGTGTGCGGCTGAGTGGTGTCCATTGGCGAGTGATGGAGGATTATGGGCTGAAGAAGAAATAAAAAAAAAAGAGAAGATGCGTGAGAAAGAGAGAGAGAATGAAAGAGAGATATATGGAGAGAATTAATGTAATCCTACAATCACGTGAGACGGTTATGGAAAATAAATATTGCAATTATTTTAAAAACTACTGATAAGGGTAGTTTCGTCTTATCAAAGTTGTTGAGGGGGGTTTCACTAATTAAGATTGGACTTTGGGTGTGGGCAAAAGTCTTAAAAGTCAAATGGGTTTAACTCATAATATTTATGGTTTGAGGGGGGTTTTGCATATTTCCCCTTTAAATAATAGATCTACACGTATAAACACACCAAATATTTGTGTCTTTAGTAAATCATTAATAAAATCTACATTTTAAAACTACATGCTGTATATTCTATGAAATGTAGGGTCACATAGGCCGAGAAGCGGCGCACGATTTTCACCATTCTGTGTGCTTATACCTTGTACTTGTACATATAATATTTTGATATCTTCAATATTGTTGTCCTATATTTTAAATATATTCAACTCTTGCAAAAAAATATTATTATTAATTTTTTTTTTCTGCCTGTCAAAATTAGAAAAAAGTATCACTCTGACCTCATGCATGAATTTTCTGTCACACGGAGCTTATAGTTATATATATAGATGTATAATTAAAATCGCAACATAAATGAAATAAATCAAGAATTGAGAAGATGGACACCCTTTCATCTTCCTTCCTCCCAAAATTTAATCAATCCTTTCTACACAAGATTGAAAATAATTATTCCTTCACAACATTTCACGAGCCTCTAAACAAGCCTATTTCGAACATCTCCGATGTTTTCAAATTCAAGAAAATTAATCGAAAAGCACAAACGACACCCGATGATAATAATAATAATAACAATCGCACGAGAAAACCCAATCCGTTGCTCACAACATTGTTCAAATCCATAGATGATTTCACGCTCGGCTCTCTCGACAAATTTCCCCTTCCTCCGTCGGTCGATCCCGAAAAAGTACTCACCGGCAACTACGCTCCGGTCGAAAACGAGCTTCCTCCGACCGCATGTGAGGTGGTGGAGGGCTCGATTCCAATTTGCCTTAACGGGGCCTACTTGCGAAACGGGCCGAACCCGCAATTCTCCCCGCGGGGCCCGTATCACTTATTCGACGGCGATGGAATGATTCAAATGATCAGAATCTCTGACGGAAAAGCCACATTTTGTAGAAGGTATATCAAGACTTATAAATATATGATGGAGCGTGATTTGGGGTACCCTATTATTCCTAGCTTTTTGTCTTCCTTCAACGGGGTCATGGCTTCGTTGGCACGTGTGGCAGTCACCGCCGCACGTGTGGTCGCCGGAGAGTTCACTCCGGTGGTCAACGGCTACGGGACTTCCAACATCAGCGTGGCGGTCATCGCCGGAAAGCTCTACGCTCTGGGCGAGTCGGATCTTCCGTACGAGATTAAAGTGACGGCGGACGGAGATTTGGTTACGTTAGGCCGGTGTGACTTTGGCGGCGGCGGCGTCGCCGCCGGAGAGGAGTTTTTGGGCATGACGGCCCACCCGAAGGTGGATCCCGGCACCGGCGAGGCGTTTGCTTTCAGGTACCACGTCGCTGCTCCGCATTTGACGTTTTTCAGGATCGATTCGGAGGGGAGGAAGCAGGCTGACGTGGCGATCCGCGCCGTTAAGACGGCGACGGTGGTGCACGATTTCGCCGTGACGGAGAACTACGCCGTGTTCAACGAGGGGCAGATGGTGATAACCCCGGCGGAGATACTGAGGGGGCGGCGGCCGGTGAGGGTGGACGGAGGGAAGATTCCGAGGATTGGGGTGATCGAGAAGTACGCGAGGGACGAGAGTGGGATGTGGTGGGTCGACGCGCCGGGGGTGAACATATCCCACGCGGTGAACGCGTGGGAGGAGGACGGCGGCGATACGGTGGTGATGGTGGTGACTAATTATACGACGGTGGAAATGGTGTTCGACAGGCTGGATATGGGGCAGACCACGTTGGAGGAAATTAGAATTAATACGAAGACGAAGAAGATAAGGAGGCGGCCATTGTCGGACAGAGTTCTCGACCTCGCCGTCATTAATCCCGCCTTTGTCGGAAAGAAGAATAGGTACCATACTTCCTCTCTCCTTTTTTTTTTTTTTTATTTGTTATTTTCAATTGAAATTATAAATAAAATAGATGATAAATTACACTCACGTCCCTGAGGTATGCTAAAATAACTTCAAGGTCCCTGATACCCCTGAAACAATTATCGGATCCAATATTTCATGTCCTGGAGATCGATTTACACTATATTTGTTTCCCGTGGGGCCGACAAAAAATTATAAATCTTATATAAAATAAATAAGAATTAAAGAAATTTTATTAGAGCCATGTCAGCAACTAGTTTTATGTTGTCTCCACTACTGTCTGAAACTAATAGTCGGTTGAAACCCTAACTTATCCAATGCATTATTCTGTTAGGGTGTCTAACAATGTTTCAAGAGGTGATTATAATTATCGATACTACATGAATCTTAAGGTTATTTTAACTTACCTTAGAAGTGTAGGGGTAATTTACTATAAAAATTAAAAAAAGTACTATTGAAAAAGGTCCAAAAAGGTTGACTTGAAATTTTATTTACGAATTATTACAACACCTTGAGGTAACATTTAATTACAAATCGCCTCAATATTTGTTTAGTTATGAAAAATATCCTTTTATGAATGTTTATTTATATTTGATGTATATTTTTTGTAAAATCTTTTTTATTGTATAAAAACTATAAAAATGTGAACGAAAAAATTACGAAACAAATATAAAATTTAACATCACAATATATTCTTAATTCTTTTTTTTTTTAATATATCTTTTTGTTTAATTAATTTTAAAATGAAGAATACATAGTATATATAAAATTAAAAACAACTACATCATAAAATTTTGTAAATACCGAATTTTTAAAATATATTAAAACTTACACCCTGAGTAAATAATAAGTTCAGAATGACCCTTGAGGGGAATTTAGTCCGCAAATAGTAGTATAGGAGAAATATTTCATGGAATAGATTCTGTCAACACTAAATTGACCGACGGTTAAATAATTAATTTTTTTTAGTTGTTTAATTTTCAAAAGTCAAGATTAGCTAACCATAATGTGGCTCATATGAATTGACCGTTGATTTAAAAATTTAGAATTTCACAAGTTTCTAAAGTCTTATTTATGTCGATTTCCTTGATCGTCCAATTATTTGATTAATTATGGTTTCTTATTGGCACTAAGAATAAATTATTTACAGCCGCCTAATCCTATATTTATCAAGATTACCAAGACCTAACTTATTAATTAATAACATATTCATTTAAGGCCATTTTTCTATTTAAAAAAAGTCAAGCAAATAGAGCAAAATTATTTAATTTTAGCTTTTGTTTCACCAATTTCATTTACAAATGTTTTTTTAAATACATGTACAGGTACGTATACGCCCCAATAATAGAGACGCCGATGAAGATAGTAGGTCTCGTGAAAGTCGACATATCATTATCTTCGGATGACTCCGTAGTGGGCACCCGTATGTACGAGCCGGGCTGCACGGGCGGTGAACCATTTTTCGTCGCGAATAATCCGGCGGGCAACGAAGATGACGGTTTTCTAATCACATATGTATATGATGAGATAAGTCAAGAGTCAACGTTCTTGGTTATGGATGCAAAGTCCCCTAATCTAGAAATTGTTGCTGCGGTGAAGATACCTAGTAGGGTGCCTAATGGAATCCATGGGTTCTTTGTCAATGAAGATTGCCTTAGCAAAATGTGAGAGATAATACAAGTCTATTAATTAATTTACCTTTTTATACATAGTATTATTTGGAAGAAATTCCATTTTAGATTTATATCAAGCTATGCAGCAGGAAACTTTAACTTTTTAATGTATTTGTATTTCGGACACATTTCGTGTCCCACACTCAAGGACACATGTCAGACATTTTATGAATTATTGCAATTTTTGAAAATGTTTGAATAACAAATTTTTAAATACTTTTATTGAGTCCCTAATGAATTACATGAATTACAAATTGGTAGTTGATGATAATTTTTATTTTAAATTTTCAAAACACACTACCTCAAAGCAAAATAACATAAAACACTTTCTGCTAGTATATATTCAATGAAAAGGGCAATTCTTTTGAGGATTCACTGATACTTAATGGGGAAAGCCTTGAGGGGCAGTGCATTATGAAGATACGAATATCCAACCATAAATATAAATATTTGGGGGATTTTTTGGTTTATTGATTTTTGGTAATTTACTCAACAAAAGAAAAAAACCAATAAAAACAATTGCGTATATCAAATGAAAAGGGCATTTATTTTTTACGATTCATGGTTACTTGATAGGAAAAGCCTTAAGCGGTACTGCCTTATGAAGTGAAAGCCCGAACATCTCATTCAAATCGAGGTCCTCAGGTTTCGTCCCTGGTTCAAGTTTCCATTCAAAGTTATGAATCAAAGATGCCATCATTAGATGCACCATAATGTGCGCCAATGGCATCCCGGGGCATATTCTCCTTCCCGAACCGAAGGGAATGAACTCAAAATCATGACCCTTGTAGTCGATTTTGTTGTCTAAAAATCGTTCAGGCTCAAACATATCTGCATTTGACCATATACTTGGGTCTCTTCCCATTGCCCATATATTCACAAGTATTTGAGCATCTTTGGGGACAACGTAACCGTTCATTTCTACGTTAGCATTTGCCTTGTGGGGGATTAAAAACGGGCCGACCGGGTGAAATCTAAAGGTCTCTTTAATCAGTGCACGTAAATAAGGGAGTTTTGAGATATCGGATTCCTCAACTTGTTTATTTTCTCCAATCACATTTCTTAGCTTATCCTTTGCTTTCGACATTATTTCAGGGTTTCTTAATAGTTCTGTCATTGCCCATTCGACGGTATCTGCGCTCGTATCTGCTCCACCAAGAATTAAGACCTGAAATAAAGTTGAATTAGTTTACATTTGGTATGAGATGTTTTTCTCTTTTATCATCACAAACATATTTTTTTGTGTGACACCACCTAGTTTGATATTCTTATGAAGAAAATACTATTACTATGTTGCCACTATTGGTGTGTCACTAGTTCTACATAGTGATATTTTTAGTGGCAACAACAAGAAACTATATAATAACTCCCAAAATGAATCCAAACATTGCATATAAATCACAAAATACAAGATGTTAGTTACATAATGTAAGTATTTAATGGCAATTTCTTATATACGTTGTTACCATTAGGGTCTCACTAATGGGTTTTTCATTCTTCTTGTTTCGTGCAGCGTATGTTAAAGTTATATTGTAAATGGATAGGTGAAACGATACTTACCACAAGCAAATGTATTATCTCATCGTGGCTCAAGTCAGAATCGCGTTCTTGATTGAGATCGAGAAGTACTTGAAGTAAATCATTCTTCCTAGGAGAATCAGAGGAGGACACGCCCCTTGACCGCAACCTTTCACTAATTATTTGATCGAATATCGCTAGCATCTTCCCAAAATAAGCTTTTGATTCGCGTTTAAGGCCTTGTGGGTCGATCCGCTTAAGAATCGGGAAGTAATCAGCAAGGTTAGGGGTGCCGAAAATCTTCATCAGCCCATTTATAGTACCCTTCATCTCTTGAGCAGAATCAGAGTCGAAGTGAGCAAAATCAATAGAAAAGAGAGTTGTCGAAATCAAATTAAGGGAGGTCACAAACGCAACCTCCCCAATATCAACAACTCGTGTATTACTGCAACATTCGTGCAAGTAATCACGCAACTGCTGCAGCTTTTCTTGGCGGAGGCTTTCACTCAATTGGAGCTTATGCACCGTAAACATGTGCTCTTTGCAGATTTTACGAAGTGTACGCCATTTGTTTCCCACCGGCAGCCAGGATAAAGCGCTCGTGTGGTGGTTTGCTACATGGGCCGTGTCAGGTACCATCCGATTGGAACAAATCTGATCGTGTTTATGTAGAATTTGTTTTGCCATTTCTGGTGAAGATGCCACAATTGTTTGTACGGTTCCGAGTTTGAGATACATTATAGGGCCGTAAGTCTTTGATAGCTTCGCCAGAGAGCGGTGGGGGTTTCGTCCGAGTAGGAGAAGGTTGCCTATGATCGGAAGAGGGAAAGGACCCGGTGGAAGCTTCGATGATGATCTTTTGTAGTATCCAAAGAGATGAAGAAATATCCATAGGCATATTATTGTGTATAGTATTACCAAAATCCTAAGAAAATCCATTGTATCAACTTTATTTGATTTGAGTAACCAAGGTATACATATGACATATTTATATACATGAAATTTGAAAAATGTCGTAGAAGAATATTTAATACATTGAGTTTCTATGAATATTGGTATGCCTACTTGGTAGCTAGGTAGTAGTTGTTTAAATGTAACAATTAATATATTGGATCTGAATTATACAAGTAAACAATTAGGTTACTAGAGCTATTATAAATTGTACCAATCTATCACATCTAGTTTAGATTGTCCGTTAAAGCTCGTTTGAACTCTATTTATTACCAAATTGAACCAATCTTCAACTATATTCTCGTTTGATAAGCTATGAAAATCTCGGCTCAAGTCGAATTCGATTAGTATTCGCCTAAAGTTGAACTAAACTCTATTAGTTACCAATTTGAAAGACCGAGTTCCACAATACTAGAAAACTTCATGTATTATATACCAAGGAAAAATCATAAAATATTAAGTTTCAACATAGATGTATGGTGTTTGCAAAAACTTCTAAAAAGTGATTTTCAGTTTTTTTTCTTTTTTATTCAGAATCACTTTTAAAGTGGTTGCAATACCAATTTTTTCTTTTCCTCCAGTTAAGATAGACCGATTTAAACTAAAATATTAAAAACACTCATTGAACAACTTCTCCTAAAATAAGTTGCTTAAAATTGATTTTTCTATAGAGTTTGCAAACACCAACAACTTTTTAACATAAGCACTTATTACTAACTTAACTCATAATTACCAACTTCAACTTTTTAAAAATGTTTTGAAAATACTACCGTAGTTTTTTTTTGCAATATTCAAATCCATTACAACTGGGGAAATAGGGGTGGGGTAGGATCCAAAGTCTAGACATCTACTCTAATAGTAAAGGTTGAGTACCAACTTTTCTAATGATGGTTGGTAAACACCACCGTAGTCAATATCATCATAAATATGATTGAGAAATATCCTTCTTAATCTGAAGAAAATTGTATTCGAAACCAAACCTTTTTCCAAGAGTTGAAAAAGTGATAACTTTAAATGACATTTAAAAGTTAGTGTAGACAGGGCCGGCTATATGGTTTTGAGACTACAAGTATAACGTGGTATTTCACCACTAAATTAAATATATTTTTAATTTAACCATTTTCTTCTTCTTTTACCTTTATTTTTTACAAATCTATAAACCATCTACAACTAAACAAATTAAAATATTTATATAAAAAAAATCACACCGTTTTCACTGGAAATCTCACCCTCTCCACCTTAAGTGAATAATACTTTTGTCAGAGAAAAATATTTTGAAAGGTCAAAAAGAGCAGGACTATTTGCGGTTTTTGAGAAATAAATTAAGATTAAGGCCCTGAACTTCCTCCATAATTTGTCAGTTTGGCTTAATATAATTTCGTTTCCTAAAAATAAAATTGCATAATTTGTTGCTCATCCGATACGGAAGTTTAATTTAAATATCTTGTAATAAATATTTTATTGTAAAAAGTAAGAAGATAATAAAAAAAAATTAAAAAAAAATTAAAAAATAATAAAATAAAATAGAAATAACTTGGAACACATGATGATTAAGTGAATACAAGAAAGAGTGGTTGATTATAAATTTCAGGGGTATTTATGCAATTTTATAATCTTTGGTGGTGAATTGAAATAATTTGGAGATGGAAATAGCACCACTCTAAATATATTCATTAAATCTTTATATTCTATTATTTTCATAAATATTTTTCTAAAAATAAGATGACCAATTCACTCAATACGTCTTCTGTATTTGAAGTTTGAACCAAAATACACTTTTATACTAATTTATAAAAAAAAAAACAAAATAGAAGTAGGATCAATAAATCTATCCCAGTACTAAAAACAGAAGGAATTTTATAAAAAACAATTGAAGGATTATTTAAATAATTGATATTTTGTTTATAGATGATATTTAATTTATGGTTTTCAAGCATAATTCTCAAAATCTTTTTAAACAAACAACATATAATTTTGATCATGTGTTCTCGTACTGCAACATATCTTAAGGTAACATTTCATTTTTACATCTTATGACTTATATTACATAAACATTTGTACAACTACCCAACTTTGTGGAAAAACAAATTAAAAACTTAACTGCGTATAAAGGTACGCGACACTCTAGAAGGGGTTTCGGGTAAAGCTACTTGAAATCCTGATAGGTTTTTTCAGCAAATTCAAAATTTCGAATACAAAAAATTGCAGTACCCGAACTTAATATATATAAACACTGAAATATAAAATACATATGCAAAGTAAGAAAATATTGATACATTTATTTACAAACTACAAAACTGAAAATAATATACCCCACATCGTCGAGGCAAATAAGCAATATTATCATTTGCGTTATGTGTATGTATATAGAGGATATTTGGACGGATGGAATAGGGTCATTAAGCGGTTAATGGATGGAAAAATACATGTTATTATCTGCATATAATCCATTAGCGATCACACATGATAAGTCGGTTTCCTAATGGGTCGGTTGAGAATATATTTGCCACTTAATTCACATAAAAAAATTTAATTTTGGAATAAAGATATGAAGATTAGTGCCAATATGTCATCATTATTTACCAGTTCAAAATAATTAAAATCAATTCGGCAAAAAGTTACTATTCCAAAATTCAAACTAATTCCAAATATGCATATTATGTCATAATGTTACTGTGCCATTATCACTCACCATTTCATGACAGATAACAAATCAACAGAAAATACTTTGAAATTCAGGATTCAAACTTCGATCTACTGTCAATATTGCAAAAATAAATCAAAATACAAGGAGCTTGCAACATAAGAAACTATCCTCAACCGTTTTCATTTATCTAAAGCTCGTAAATCTTAAAACCTTCAACAATGTTGAATGTAGTTGGGCGAAAATTGCATGTGGGGCTAGTATAGTACTTTTACTTCTTCGGTGGGTATGTCAAAGAATGATTTGGGCTTTGGTTTTTTGCTAGTTTAGTAACACTCCAGGGAGTATATTAAATGAGTCCTAATATAACAACTTATATCAAAACAACTGAGATAACAAAAATTACTTGAAGATGCGAATATTCAACAACAAATATGAATACTTGAGGGACTTTTTGGTTATTAGACTTTTGTTCATGGATTTTTGATAATTTACCCAACAAAAAATATTACAATAAGAACAATTGTGTATATCGAATGAAAAGGGTATTTATTTTTTATGATTCATGGCCACTTGACAGGAAAAGCCTTAAGTGGCACTGCCTTATGGAGTGAAAGCCCGAACATCTCACTCAAGTCGAGTTCCTCAGATTTCATCCCGGGTTCAAGTTTCCATTTAAAGTTATGAATGAAAGATGCCACCATTAGATGCACCATAATGTGAGCCAGTGGCATCCCGGGGCATATTCTCCTTCCTGAACCGAAGGGAATGAACTCAAAATCATGGCCCTTGTAGTCGATTTTACTGTCTAAAAATCGTTCAGGCTCAAACATATCTGCATTTGACCATATACTTGAGTCTCTTCCCATTGCCCATATATTCACAAGTATTTGAGCATCTTTGGGGATAATGTAGCCATTCATTTCTACGTTCGCATTTGCCTTGTGAGGGATTAAAAACAGGACGACCGGGTGAAATCTAAAGGTCTCTTTAACCACTGCACGTAAATAAGGGAGTTTCGAGATATCGGATTCTTCCACTTGTTTGTTTTCTCCAATCACAGTCCTTAGCTCATTCCTTGCTTTGGACATTATTTCAGGATTGCTTAATAGTTCTGTCATTGCCCATTCCACGGTATCTGTGCTCGTATCTGCTCCACCAACAATTAAGACCTGAAATAAAGTACAATTAATTTATATCTCGTATGAGATATGTTTCCCTTTTATCACTATATAAAATAAGCTTTTGTGTGACAACACCTATTTTTATATTCTTAGGAAGAAAATACTATTACTATGGTGTTACTATTGGTGTCTCACTAATTCAACATGGTGACACTGAAAACCGAGTTAGTGGCAACAATAAGAAACTATATCATAACTCCCAAAATGAATCCAAACATTTCTTATAAGTGATAAAATACAAGATGTTCCTTAATGTAAGTATTTTAATGACAATTTCTTATATATATTGTTAGGGTTTTTTTGCAAAATCTAGCCCTTTGAAATCTCTAATTGCTAAAAACCACATCGTGTAAAAACAATTAGCAACGACCCCCCTATGAAAATAAGTTAACGCAAAAAAAAACCCTACAACTCATCGTATAGCGCAAGCGCGAATTGTGCATGTAAGAGTGTGTGTTTCTACTTGAAAATTCGAAAATACCCTCTGATTATTTTGTAAAGAAATAAATCCAATTTAATTTAAATATAAATAATCCAAAACTTTGGATCAAATTGCAATTTTTAAAATTTGTTAAATGAAGAAAAATAAATTGCGTCTTCCCAAAATTATTCTCCTCCACTGAAATCGCCACGACCACCAACAAACTCCCACCACCACCAGCAGCAATCACCTCGTCAAGCTGCTAACTCCAAACAGAGAGAAAGAACATGTCTTCCCCAAAATTCTTCTTCTTCCCATTGAAATCACCGCCACCACCAAAATCACAACACCACCTCCGGCAATCACCTTTTCACGCCGCCGCCGCTACCCCTTCCTTCCACCACCCGCCTCTTCCGCTCTTCTCGCCATAGACACCCTGACCCTCCACCCCAAATTCTCAAAATCCCCGCCCCGCCCATCTATTTCCCCCGTCAGCCACCTTTACTTGAGATTTGATTGTGGCGAGAAGTGAGGCATGAACATTGAAGAATCAACATTATTTTTTTACAGTGCTGGAGAAGAGGGACCTCGTTGGAGAAGAAGACATTGAGTTGGGTTTTGTTGCAATTGTTATTTGCGTTTTGTTATGTTTTCGTTTTTTTTTTAATATTTCTTTTGTAAGGGTAGTTCAGTCATTTCATATAAGTCAACATTCAATTTCGAAACAGGGGCTAATGTGCTTTGAAAAACACAATACATGAGTTTTTTTGCTAATATTTTTAACACGAGGTGTTGTTCACCAATTAGAAATAACACAGGGGATATGTGCTATTAGCTCATGTTGTTACCATTGGGGTGTCACTATTGGTTTTTTTTCCTTGTTTCGCGTAGTTTGTGTTAAAATTATATTGTAAATGCATGGAT